CAATTACTGGAATTCTTTGGATAAGACATGAAAGTAAGGAAGAATCATATGGAAGCATATGTATAACAGATATTAAATGATTATGCAGTAGCAGAAATAATTTTTAATTTTCACATTAGAACTGCCAAATTTGACTCATAAATAAAATTAATAAGCAATCTTCCAAACTTCTTATAATTTTCTTCTTCATCATTGCTTATTCTGCGACTTCATGAAAAGTATAAAGAAAAAAACATTTACGATTTAATTTTCTAATAACACTCCCAGCAAATGTGTAACAAAATTCTATTTGAAATGTCAAAATTGAAAATGAAAATACATGAGCAGAAATGCTTTTTCATTCTCACTTCACAACTGCTTAGTGTGACTCACAATTAAAATGAAGAAGCATTTCTCCAAACTGCTTTTTAATTTTCTTCTTCATCAATGCTTAATCTGTGATTTAATGAAACTGATAAAGAAAAATACATTTAAGATTTAATTTTCTAAAAACACTCCAGCAAATGTGTAACAAAATTCTATTTGAAATGTCAAATCTGAAAATGAAAATGCAGTAACATAAACATTTTCATTTTCACTTTACAACTGCTAAGTCCAACCATCCATCCAATGTATGAACCCGCTTGTCCATGTAGGGTCGCGGGGGTGCTGGTGCCTATCTCCAGCGGTCACTGGGCAATCAGGCGGGGTACACCTTGGACAGAGTGCCTGGACACACACACCCTCACACCTAAGGACAATTTAGACAGATCAATCAACCTGACTGACATGATTTTGGACTGTGGGAGGAAGCCGGAGGACCCGGAGAGAACCCACACATGCACAGGGAGAACATGCTAACTCCATGCAGAAAGGCTTCGGGCCGGGAGACAAACCCAGGACCTACTTGCTGCAAGGCAACAGCTCTAACCACTGCACCAATGTGCAGTCCCAACTGCCGAGTGTGACTCAAAATTAAAACTGTGTGTGTGTGTGTGTGTGTGTGTGTGTGTGGGGGGGGGGGGGGGGGGGGCAGCGTGTGATTACAGACAAATGCATGAGAGAGATAGCAAACCTGCAGCAGCTTGATGTACAACTCTCCTCACATGTTTTAAAATGCTAACATAATGTTTCTGCTATGCTAAATAATGATTTCTCTATAGAACTACAAAGTCCGACTGGGGGAGGAGAGTAGGTCTGCTCTGTGGAGGGGGGCGGAGTTTGCAGCTCCTCCTCCAGATTTAAAGAGACAGTACCCAAAAACGGCTCGTTCTCAGACTCTCCTCAGAACAGGGGTAGATGAGGGGTCTGTAGAGCAGCAATAATGAGGAAATCAGACCAAAGAACTGCAATTCCACTGAGTTTAGACCCCAACTGATTGATTTAGATGTAAAAAGGAAGAATTTAAAAGGATGATATGTCTCCTTTAAGGCTTTAAGAGTCAGTCTATTTATTCCTTTTACTTGTTTGAGCTGGAGTTAGCGTGCACATGCTCATCAGGAATGGTCTTTTCTCCATTTGGAAGCGATACACATACCTCTGTGTTTACCGGCAGAAACCTGTAAATTTCCCTCCATGATGCACAGCGCCAGGAGGTGAACGGCCAGAGCAGCGTGAATCAAAAGCTGTATCCAACAAGGCCCAAGCAGCACGTTCAGGACCCAAACACCGCTTCAGGACTCACTCCAGCGTGGTCTCCAACAGGACTCGACCCACCAGTACCTCCAACAGAACACCATCCACCAGTACCTCCAACAGAACACCTTCCACCAGTACCTCCAACAGAACACCATCCACCAGCACCTCCAACAGAACACCATCCACCAGCACCTCCAACAGAACACCATCCACCAGTACCTCCAACAGAACACCATCCACCAGTACCTCCAACAGAACACCATCCACCAGCACCTCCAACAGAACACCATCCACCAGTACCTCCAACAGAACACCATCCACCAGTACCTCCAACAGAACACCATCCACCAGCACCTCCAACAGAACACCTTCCACCAGTACCTCCAACAGAACACCATCCACCAGTACCTCCAACAGAACACCATCCACCAGCACCTCCAACAGAACACCATCCACCAGCACCTCCAACAGAACACCATCCACCAGTACCTCCAACAGAACACATCCACCAGTACCTCCAACAGAACACCATTCACCAGTACCTCCAACAGAACACCATCCACCAGTACCTCCAACAGAACACCATCCACCAGCACCTCCAACAGAACACCATCCACCAGTACCTCCAACAGAACACCATCCACCAGCACCTCCAACAGAACACCATCCACCAGTACCTCCAACAGAACACCATCCACCAGTACCTCCAACAGAACACCATCCACCAGTACCTCCAACAGAACACCATCCACCAGCACCCTCCAACAGAACACCATCCACCAGTACCTCCCACAAGGCCCATTTTGACTTTCCAGTGAAATCTGTTTCCTCAAATGTTTTTTAACTGATGTTTGACTTATGTGGGGCCAACGCTTCTCCTACAGAAACCCATCCACCACAGGTGATAGAAAAAGACTGACTTTCTGACGCGTGGAAATGGAGTAAAACAAAATGTTGTTCTTTCATTTTCTTATTCCTCAAGAACAGCTTCTTCCAAAAACAGCTTCCATGCTTTTGAGCTTTTTCTCATATTGTACCAGACTGATGTCTTTAAATTTAAACAACATTTTCTTCCTGGGGGGCATGCCCCAGACCCCCCTAGAGTAGTTTAATACTTATCTTTTTCATGTCTGCTCTTTGGTGCTGGTGCACACCTTGTGGTAGAAAAAGAACTGGAAGATATTTCAAATACACTTTAAAAAGGCATTTAAAAGTTAGGGTTTGGTAAAGTGTGTGTGTGTGTGTGTGTGTGTGTGTGTGTGTGTGTGTGTGTGTGTGTGTGTGTGTGTGTGTGTGTTACACATTTAGGACTGCATGAGACAGTGTGGTTCCTCAAATCCATGCATCTTATTATTTGGTTGAAGTAATGGTGAACAAAAATAACTTGTGTTTCATAAATGACATCTCAATAGTGTTTATGATAATATTTTATCTTATCTTTGGTCTGGGAGGTGTAACTTATCATGATACAAGCCTTTTAAAACATGTTCAAGTGTTACAAGAGGAGATAAATGCATGAATTTAAAGTTCATGTTTGGAGACCAGCCTTCACAGTTTGGAGGCTCACGCTGGTGAGGAGACACCATTAGTTCTAGTAACACCTGGGCTCCCAAGGCCTGTTCTGATAGGATGGATGTTATGGGACCCTTAAGGATTCCAGTTGGATGATTAGAGGATTATTTAGGAGGATTGGAATGAACTAACTGATTTCAGTGGTGAAGGGTTAAATGAATGAGTGAACCCACTACCAAGGATGAACTCTGCTAACTTTAAAAATCAGCTGCTCTAAATAAGCATGAAGGTCAGAGAGGAGCTCTAGGATGGACATGGATAAAGGAACTGTAATGTAGAGGTAAAGTAGGGCAGGGCCAACGTTAGCAGCTGTCATACGGTCCATTTGAAATGTTTGACTTTCATTTAGCTTGTTATGTGACAGGTAAGAGCACAGTCTCATGTTAAGGGTTTTGTCATGAGAACATTGAGATACCTCACATGCTGATGGCATCAAAAATATTTTTTCTTTCTCAAAATAAAGAATAATTTTAATCACAATCCTAGAAGAACCTCGTCCAATCAATGTGCACATCCAGTTCTTTTTCATTACTTAGATGTAGCCATCCTTACAGTGACAAAAATGTAACTAAGTAACTTTTACTTTGAGTACATTTTATTTAAGATACTTTTTAATTTTACTTGAGTAAAAATTCAGGCAAGTACTTTTACTTGTACTTGAGTAAAAAATTATCAAAGTATTGGTACTCGTATTTAAAGGTATAGCAATATATGTTTTTCTTCCGGGTGGATCACGTCAACCATTGGTCCGCAAAAATGTCAATTTCTGGTGAAGCCAATCCTGGGTTAGTTTTCACTTCCTGCACATGCGTACTCTGTGCACCCCCGCACTCTCATGGAAATCAGGAAGAGGATAACGCGGTCCAGTCCGTTCCCCACAGACGCCGTCGCTGTTGCCGGTTTTCTGCTCGAGAGGTAAGCTAACGTTCTGCATGCTGTTTTTAGAGCTTCTTATTAAACATTACGGCCGGCAGCTACTTGTAAACAGGCACTGGGAGAGTGTTGCACAACGTGGAGAGGGCGGTTCTTTCCTGACATTGAGAAATATCGATTGCCATACCTTTAAGTAAGAAATTGTAGTACTCTGTCCACCTCAGGTTGCACCTAAGACATTACAAAAACAGAAAGAATGGAAAAAATAAGCTGGATTAGTTGGTACCATTGCCGGTGGATGAATCTTCCTTGGTTTGGGAGTGAAGTGAAGCAGCTAGACCGATGGAAGTGGCGGGTTTTGTCCAGTTTGCTGAGCGCCACATGAAGCTAACCTGCTTTTGCTACCTTTCCATCCTATGCGTACCCTGTTAGCGTTAAACAGCAAAGTAAAACCTTCTAACTTGTATGTGAACTTTTTCTATATGTCACAGTGAAACTTGGATTTGTAATTACAGAAAGTAAAATGTTATGTGTAGATGTGCGAGGGAGAGCCTCTACACCGTGCAGTGGAGCTAGATGAACTCTGGAATCGGTGAGCAAATCTTAGGCTCTGTTTTTTCAAATAAGTTTGCACTATTTTACCAGAAAAACGTTAAAAACAGTTCATTGTACATATTCTGGTTAATAACTGTTGCACAAAAGTCTGATTTTTGAGAAAACCAGATTTATACTTTTGCTAACTGTGAATCTGAGTTTCCAATTGTATTTGGATGTCAAACAATATGGATAATATAGGTATTAATTTTTGATCAGGTTTATTTGCATGACAGATAATTACACGAGTAGATTAATCTGGTGACTTTGATGGCGAGCCTTCTCACTTTGCAAAACATCAGCATTTACGTTTAAACTCCAGAAACAGCAAAAAACAAACTGAATAGTGAACAAAGAGATTTAATAAAACAATTTAGAGGCAAACAAACATTTCATTTTCAACCTTTTCTTCTCCAAAAACAAAACAATAAAACTGCTGCCTTTCATTTTAGTTAAAAGAGCTTTCAGATCAGTAGCACATTTCATTCAACACCCTTACTAGTCCCAAAATTTATATTTTATTTATGTTCATTAATTCTGTCCTGTGTGGACTTTCATGTGTCTGTTTAAACTTGTCTTCTCACTAAATCTTTTTCACATAGCTCACAAGCAAAAGGCTTCTGTCCTGTGTGAACTCTCATGTGACTGTTAAAATGCGTCTTTTGACTAAACTTTTTTTCACAAAGCTCACAAGCAAAACGTTTCTGTCCAGTGTGGACTCTCATGTGTTTGTTTAAATTTGACTTTTCACTAAATCTTTGTCCGCAGAGCTCACAAGCAAAATGCTTCTGTCCTGTGTGGACTCTCATGTGACTGTTTAAACATGACCTATCACTAAATCTTTTTTCACACAGCTCACAAGCAAAAGGTTTCTCTCCTGTGTGTACTCTCATGTGAGTGTCTAAATGGTCCTTTCGGGTAAATCTTTGTCCACAGAGCTCACAAGCAAAAGGCCTCTGTCCTGTATGGACACTCATGTGTCTGTCTAAAGTTCCCTTTTGGGTAAATATTTGTCCACAGAGCTCACAAGCAAAAGGCCTCTGTCCTGTATGGACACTCATGTGTCTGTCTAAAGTTCCCTTTCGGGTAAATCTTTGTCCACAGAGCTCACAAGCAAAAGGCTTCTGTCCTGTGTGGACTCTCATGTGAGTGTCTAAATGGTCCTTTCGGGTAAATCTTTGTCCACAGAGTTCACAAGCAAAAGGCCTCTGTCCTGTATGGACTCTCATGTGGCTGTCTAAAATTCCCTTTTGGTTAAATTTCTGTCCACATATCTCGCAAGCAAAAGGCTTCTGTCCTGTGTGAACTCTCATGTGAATGTTTAAATGTGATATGGAGCGGAAACTTTTTCCACAGTCGTCACAACTAAATGATTTTAGTTTTGTCTGAACTTTCCTGCTAGAGGCTACATTTTGCTTCACTCTAACACGTTTCTTATCAACACAACAGCTTGAAGACTTCAGTCCTGAATGACTTGTCACTCTCATGTGTTTCTGGAGAGACCGCTCATGGAGAAACTGTTCACCACACTCTGGGCAGCTGAAAGATTTGACAGCCTTAACATGTGATTTAGAAGACCTGCTCTCCTTCCAGTCTTTGATATGATCTTTGGTGTTTGGCTCATAATCTGACAAGACTTTCAGTTGACAGTCAGAATTGTTGCCATACTGGTCATCCTCTTCATCATTGCTGACTTCCGTCTCTGAAGAGTTAGAATCATATTCATAAAGATTTAGATCTGGATTCCTGGTAGTTACTGCTCCTCCACAGATCTCTCTACCAATTTCTGTTTTCATCTGGTCAGTGGTGCTGCTGGTTGGAAGATCTCTGTCTTTAGGTTGGTTCTGATCAAACTGTGACAACAAAACTTCTCTTCCTTCTTCCTTAACCTGATGAGAAACTGCAGAGAATGAAATGTTGGTGGCATCAGTTTTAATCTCATCAAGCTGCTCCTCCTCTTCCTGCTTCATGTTGAGGGGCTCCATGTCCTTCTGGTTCAAAGGAGGCCTCAGTTCTTCAGGAGCTCTTCCTTCTTCCTTAAACTGACACAAAACTGCAGAGAATGAATTATCACAGTTTAAAATGAATTTAAATATAACAAAACTTTAAAATGTATTTTACTTTGAAAAACCAGTGCTGCCGTTTTCCCCCGTGTGCGAAGGAGCCGGCTTCTGTGTGGTGCGCTGCTCTCACGAGTTAAAGAAAACTACAGGGAGAGAAAAGGTGGAAGAAAGGAACCTTACGTTAGAAGAAGGCATTTTTAGTTCAGACCTGTGAAGACCAGCTTCATGCGAACGCACGCTGCTACATGTGAACAGTAACGTAGTCAATGTGGTCTGTCGTTAATGCGTAATTCCAGATCGGTAGCAGCGTACAGCTTATTGTTGGGTCATGTTCCCACCGAGACTCATTTCTGCTCGCATTTTCAGAAGAGGAAGGGAGCCGAGGAAGATGTTGAGGTAACGTTAGATGAAGATGCTCATTGTTCTTTATCGTGACTCAGTTCTCTCTGAGTGATCTGTACCGTGATACGTGTGATATTCCCAACGTTCCTATTGGTGATTGAAGGGAATCTGTTACGTTCCCGACAGGTGTTGTTAAAAGTGAAGGAAGGGGGTAACATAAGATCTGGCGGAGGAGTTAAAAAATGGGTTTATTTGTACAAAAAGGTAAAAATCACAAGCAAACAGATCTCTCCAAAAGGTTAACACTACACAGCAAATCATCAACTATAAAACACCTGGTTAAAACTTATATTAAAAGCTTACCCGGGCAAAAGGTGTTTTTAAAATCCCCAAAGTTGATAACTGTTCCCAAAACAATCCACTGACTAAAAACACCTGGTAAAATCTTATTTTAAAAGCTTTACCACAACGAAAGGTGTTTAAAAATCAAGGTCAGTAAAATTGCACAAACAAAGTTAACATTAAAAACCGAACACAAATATCTAAGGATCCCGCTGGATCATCCCAAACTTATTTCCAAGAGTTAAACACTATCACATTTTAAAACTCAAACGAATCCAAACAAATCTAAGGGGTTGAAACAAACAAAAACCGGGAGGACAGCAGAACCCCTGCACTGCTGCCTCCCAGACTGCTGAAGGCACAGCCCTTTATGCAGGTGTTTGCTCATTAAGATGATTCCTCCCAGCTGTGCTCCTCAGCAGCCCGGGAGAGAGGAGGAGGAGGGGCGGTGTCAGGCTGATTCACCAGGGCTTGGTGATTATGGCTGCTTCTTCTCCACAGGCCAGCCTGGCATCCGTAACAGAATCTAACATGTGGCTAATATATTAGACAAGTAGGCTGAAGTGGAGGAGGTGAGTGAAGGAGAGACAAGTGGAGAGGCAGAGCAAGGAGCAGCATGATGATGGAGAGAGCAGCAGGGAAGCAGAGAATCTGGCTGGGACCCAAAATGTTCCTCCCATGGCTGTAGCACAACAGTCAAGCATTACAATTCATGTCAAGTTAAATAAATATTTTATTTAATTTAAAATAAACATGAGCTGTTTTACAAACTCCTGCATTAATGTTCACCAAAATCACAGTCTCATGTCTCAGAACGACCGTCTCCATACGTCTCTACCACCCTGCATTTAGGGGCGTGGTCCTGGTCAACACCGTCTCCTGAACTCCAAACTGAAGGTCAGAATGGGAAAGAAAGGTGATTTAAGCTATTTTGAGCGTGGCATGGTTGTTGATGTCAGACAGGCCGGTCTGAGTATTACACAATCTGCTCAGTTACTGGGATTTTCACCCACAACCATTTCTAGGGTTTACAAAGAATGGTGTGAAAAGGGAAAAACATCCAGTATGCGGCAGTCCTGTCGGCCAAATGCCTTGCTGATGCTGGAGGTCAGAGGAGAATGGGCCGACTGATTCAAGCTGATAAAACAACTTTGACTGAAAGAACCACTCGTTACAACCGAGGAATGCAGCAAAGCATTTGAGAAGCCACAACACGCACAACCTTGAGGCAGACGGGCTACAACAGCTGAAGACCCCACCGGGTACCACTCATCTCCACTACAAATAGGAAAAAGAGGCTACGATTTGCACCAGCTCAGCAAAACTGGACAGTTGAAGACTGGAAAAATGTTGCCTGGTCTGATGTGTCTCCATTTCTGCTGAGAGATTCAAATGGTAGAGTCAGAATTTGGCGTAAACAGAATGAGAATATGGATCCATCATGCCTTGTTACCACTGTGCAGGCTGGTGGTGGAGGTGTAATGGTGCGGGGCATGTTTTCTTGGCACACTTTAGGCCCCTTAGTGCCAACTGGGCATGGTTTAAATGCCACGGGCTACCTGAGCATTGTTTCTGACCATGTCCATCCCTTCATGTACTACAATTGTGAAAGCTGGGTGTAAAAGAATTTGTTGGTTGTTGCCATCATACATTAGACCTTGTGCTGACTTATGGCATAGTCTGAGGAAATAACAATATTTCCTTATTTATTTATTTTCTTAACCGTGTCCTGTCTGGCTGTGAAGCAAACAGAATTGATGTCTGAATGCTGGTAAGCCTTACAGATTTACTCTCAGGTGGAGCATCAAAGCGTCTGCTTTTAATGTCATGCCTGATACTTAAAACTTTATTGCTATTGTTTTTGAATGCTTTGTAATTCCTACCAGACACGGAGACAGAGGTGAAAGAGAAAGGAAAAGACAAGAGGTGGGGAGAGGGGGGGTGGGTGGGGAGGGGGTCCCCAAAAATACCGTAAATCCTCTAATATTAGCCTGTATTTAATTAACGGCCGGGTATCATATTTTGGTGGGTGTCGGAGTCGGCGGAGGTGAATAATGGCCGGTATCTTATTGTGGCCGGGTGGAATGTGGTAACAAGCAAGTACGGGGGCGGTTGTGTCATCCGTCTCACTTTTGATTTGCCAGTGATAGACCGCAAGGGTAACTTTAACCGTGCGGAGACGAAGAGGAGGCAAAAATTTGATATCAAGTTCAAAGAGAACGTGCTGATTATGCTGCAGAACACTCTGGGGAGCAGTAGCAGGGGTTGTATGAACTAGTCACTAGTCGACTTCACCGCTCTATAGTGACTTTTTATGCCTGTCATCGACTAGTCGCTGTCACGTGATAATGACCGGCAAGATGAAGTCCTCGGAAAAGACAGCAGCCTGCTGTCAGCAGATGACAAGCTGCTGCGCGTCGGGAGACAACGCGCTGTGCCAGAGCGTCGGTACTGACACCCGCCGTAAAACGGACATTTAACCAAATTGTGACATTTACCTTTTTGCAATTTAACCTTCCCTTCACCCCATCCTAACCTTAACCAGCTTGCACATGCAAAGATCTGATTGTTGACGCGCTCCAGACATCTGCGTCCTGAGCACGGCCACAGTAACATTATCAAATCAGGTGTCGCCACCTCAAAAACTAATTTAACACGCGATCGTTCATGTCGGCTCATTTCCTTTTATGTTTTCTGTCTTTTATTCTTTTATTTGTGCCTGATGCGTTTCGCTGCTGTGGATCGGGGCACATCACCTGTTTTGTCCTCGGTGAACTGATGTGGCCGGTGAGCCCTCCGCTGTTTTTGCGGTCGGTAGATCTTTTAGAACTGCAGTTCAAAGGTAACTAATAAGGTGAAAATATATGAACCCAGGTAGCAGTTTTTCTTTAGGATTGAGAGGAGATGCATTAAGATAATAAACAGACAGGACAGAAAAATAGTCAAATAAAAACAAGTTAGTTTTTGTACCTGGTGGTTGCAACAAACAGACTAGGGCTGCAGCTATCGAATATTTTTGTAATCGAGTACTCTATCGAATCTTTTTTTGGATTAATCGAGTACTCTAATAAATTACCCTTTTGTGTTTGTAAACCATTATATCAAATAGCATGTTATAATTATGAAAGACCTCTTAAAATGAGCAAGCAATTGCCAGTTATTCTTCAAGTTTTATTCAAAATTAGTTTTCAAAACTTCAGCACTTCAACTTTACTTCACAGTAAACAAATGCCTGTGCAAAAAATAAGTATACAACCTGAGCCGATTTTCCCCTCGTGCGAGAATCTGCTAGCCTGCAAGCCAGACAAAAACTAGGAGGATAACTGTTGAAGTAGCGCTGCGAGCGGCTGCGGCCCAAACAGAACCAGAACCGCTCATGGCGCATGCGCAAACAGCTCGCCGGCTGTTTCCCTATTAACACACGTTCGTTTTAATTTCTACACTTTTTTCTCACACAATAACAAGGATTGTCGAAAGCATGTTTGCCGTGGTTATGTTAAATTATACTGATCACATAACATTTATTTACTTTCTTTTGTTTTCCTCCGCCACTCATAAAGACCCGTGTCCTCCTGCAGAAACCCCGAGGGACAACGGACATCAATAACACAATAAAAAGTCCGACGTGTTGTGTAAAACTGCTATTTTTTAGCACATTTTAAGTTCGACGTGTTGCTACCAGATGTATGGTGTGAGCTGAAACTGAGTGCTACAAACGAAAAAGTCGCACAGTGTCTGCAGAATACATAGAAATACAGGCTAAAAAGCATTATCTTGTAGAGGCTCCGAGTCCAGTTGCAGAAGTGACATTTACAGGTGCTGCAGCACGGAGGATGTGGTGTTTTGGTAGGCTAAATCCATTTTACAGTATTTACACTGGACTACGTTTTCCGCCTTACGACGTGAAAAATGGTCCCACACCTTTGACATTTTGTCTTTTTAGAACTCCACCGGGGTCTACGTTGTCCGCCATGGCTTAAGAGAAAGTTAAGTTATATTCGCTACTCGCGTGTGCATTCAGCCCAGTGGGCATATGCGTCACTTATTTCGGTCCGGGTGAAACATGACCCCGGGCGATTGCAAAGCCATGAATTAATTAAATATGAATTAAACGAATCCTCGAGGCAAATAATTTGACTCGAGGATTTTTTGTACTCGAATTATTCGAGGTACTCGAGGAATCGTTTCAGCCCAAAAACAGACACCATTGAAGGTAATCAGAAGTGAGGAACAGAAAATGAAATTATTTTAATGTTTAGAGCAGCAGGAACTCCGAGAGGCTGCAGGCGCATCAGTGAGTTTGCGGGGGGGAGGGGGGGGGGGGGGCTGAAGCAGAAACTAGCATTGTTAAAAGAAATTCAATTCATTTCAAGTTTATTTATATAGCGCCAAATCACGACAAGAGTCGTCTCAAGGCACTTCACATAATAAAAATTCCAATTCAGGTCAGTTCATTAAGCCAATCAGAAATAATGTTTCCTATATAAGGAACCCAGCAAATTGCATCAAGTCACTGACGAGTGTCAGTGACTATACAGTAATCCCTCGTTTATCGCGGTAGATGTGTTCCAGACCTGGCCGCGATAGGTGAAAATCCGCGAAGTAGGGACTCCCAGCATGCCCCTCGCGGGGATTCCCTCCACGTTGCACCTACGTCACAAACCGCGGCTATAAACGGAAGTCGCCTTTCCAGCTCACCACTGTCATCGTTTCTTCAGATTCATGAGTTTCCAACCTACCGATCAATCCAACGAACTATCAGCTCATAGTAAGTTATCTTACTTACTTCTGGAAAGCCCGGCATTTCCTTGTCACTTCGTTGACGCTCGAACGCTCTGGGGTTTCCTAGATCAGCCGGCTTTTCACCGACGCTATCACTTCCGCGTCTGTGAAACCACGCTCCCTATTGAATTATCGTATGATCACATTCTCTTTTTGTGGGTAAAACTCAAGAAAAAATTTTTTTTACTTGTTTTTTTTAGTTTTATTACAAAAAGTGCATTTTATGATGAAATTGATGAAAAAAACAAGAATTTCTTGATATTTCGCATAGAAAAATACAGCGAATCAGTGAAAAATACCGCAAATTTGCGAATTCCCCCTGAAAAATGCTCCAAAGAAAAAATCCGCGAAGCAGCGAATC